TGAACATAAATCTCATAAATACCTGAGGTGTGGGATGCAGAGGGGTCTGGCCAACCTCTTTTTGGATGGTTTGTGGGGACAGGACAAGGGGCAATGGCCACAAAATGGCGCACGCAAGTTCTGCACCGAAATGAGGAAGAATTTCTTCACGGTGAGGGTGACGGAGCACTGGGGCCAGGCTGCCCAGGGAGGCTGTGGGGTCTCCTTCTCTGGAGATATTCAAGGCCTGTCTGGACGCCCACCTGGGCAGCCTGCTCTGAGGAACCTGCTTTGGCAGAGGGGTTGGACCCAATGATCTCTCGAAGTCCCTTCCAACCCCGGGCTTGTGTGACAACCAGCTTTCTGCCTCCAGAAACGGCTCTTTTCCTGTTTATCACCCCAAAACGGAGCAGGCAGGATGGCAGGGCCATCTCCCGCTGAGCAGCACCACCCCAAACCCTCTGCTCGGGGGGCAAGACCCTGTATCCTTCTTCCAGCACCTCTCAGGGCCCATGGGCAGCTCTCGGGAAAGCAGAGAGTTAACGGCAAAGCAAAGCTCTTGTTTATCCACTGAAAATAGAAGGAGAAAACGCGAGGGGCGATGCACACTCAGCCGCACACGCATGCACACATGATTCATGCAAGGCTTCGTCCCAGCTGCAGCCCGCGGTGCCGAGCCCTGCTCCCATGCACCGAGGGTTTCATACATCGCCGTGCTCAGCCCCGGCCTCCCGAATTTATGCAAGAAGTGGGGTGGCCACGTGGGAACCCCAAAATATTGCCCGGTGGCTGCTGCAATCCCACAGCGTCTGCACCCCGGTGGAGCCGAGCCCCACGGAGCTCCCGGCTCCGAGCCCTGCAGCTCGGGGCGCTGGCGGCATGAGGGGTGCCCTTTCCCTCACGGTTATCTGCCGTAACATTAGACCCGAGCACGAAGCCCGAGAGCTGAGGCACTGACGAATGTATCTTAAAATAAAGCAAGTGTTCACGCTAATTACTATTTCAGTGAGTCACACTGATTGCAAACATAACTCCCAGCCTGGAAAAAATTGCGTCCATGGGCTACAAATTAAATTAATAATGGTGGTTGGGTTTTTCTTGTTGTTTTTGTTTTCTTTTGTTATTTATTTTTTTTTTGATGGGAGATTACAAGAAGGAAGAGCAGGGCCTGAGGAACCGCAGGAAGCTGGGGATTCATGCCACGATCAGCTCGGTCCCCAGAAACCATCACCAACCACGTCAGGGTGCGCAAAACTTTGCAAGAAAAAATAAAAAAAGAGGAATAACCTAGGTGGTGGAAAGCCAATTCCTTCTCCTGCAGCAGCTACAGGTCAGTTGCACCCTGGAAAGAAAAAGGCCAGTGGTCCTGTCACCGCCTGCTAGCTCAGCACCTTCGCTTTCCACCCACAGATTGGGGTCTCGAAGCAGAGCCCTCCACCAAACGGGTGCATCGTGACAGTGGTTTGGTCCCGAAGGGTCTTAGGTGGCTACTGGGGCACTAAATGTTTTAAAAAACAAGTGGCCTGAGCACAAAGATGGACAAAATGAGCAGCCAGAGCAGCACACAGCATCGGTCACACGGCAAAGACCATGAAAACCAGCACCCACCAGCACCGGCCGAGAGGCTCCCCCACGTAATCCCATTTGAGGATAAATGCATTTGCCAATTCGATTATTTGGACTTACGGCTGCACAGTTTGTCCTTATTCAGCTCCCCATGTAAAGCCATCTCCCATCCACCCACCAGAAAGCCTCAGAAGATGCCCGGCACAGCTTCTCCTCGCCCTCCTGCACCCACCTCTTGGGGGACAGCCCTTCTCCATCCAAGCACGAGCACAAGGTACATGCACAGGAGGCTGCTTTTGGGTAGAGATCACACAGGATTCTCTGACTCTGCTCCGCAACGACGCCCAAAACACTTCACCAAGCAGCCCAGGAGATTAAAAGCCAAGAGATTAAAACGCAGAAGGGTTAAGCACGAGTCCAGGAGTGCCTCCTCTAGGTCCCATCAACTCGTGGGAAGGAAGAGCAAAGAGGGCTCCAGCTCACAGCGTGCTGCCCACCCACCACCAGCCAAGTGCTTCCCACAGCTCCTCTGGCGCTTGGAAAAGCACCTTTAAAGAATCAAAACCCCAAATAATTGCAAAGAATACTGCAAGTGCAGACCACGATCCATGAGGACATCCTCCCTACACAGACACAAGGGTGCAGGGGGCGCAGGAGATGCCACCTCCCGCCCCATCCAGTGATCCCCAACGCAGTGCTTCCACCCAGCCTGTCCCAAGAGCACTCAAACCGGAGCCCAGCATCACAGCAAAGCCAAGAAAAAACCCCAAAGCTGTGCCCCGGGGTGGTTTTCCACGGGTGGGGGCCGCTGTGGGGACACCACGGTGTTTGCCTCCGATGGGAGCCCGCAGCTGGGGCAGCAGCAGCGGCCGCAGGGCTGGAGCCGCAGCCACCTAAAGGTACCCGAGGTCTGCAGGAACATGTAATGCCTTTTATTAGAGCAGCTGGAAAAAAAATAAACCACACAAGCCCTCCTTTGAGCTTCTGCACCTTCCCGCTTGGCCATTTTTTCCAGCTGCATCACTTGGTCTAATTAAAGGCATTACCCCTGCCTCTTCCTCCGGCCGGCCCTCGCCGGGACGAGGAATCTGGGTCGTTTTGGTGCTCTCACTGCGGCCCTCGACAGCCTGCTGAAAGGAAATCAAGATTGTGGCCTTAACGTGCGGGGGAGCTGGAATCTGGTGGAAAGAAAGCTCAGCGCCCTTCCGACCAAGGGCTGGGGGATGCAGACGGGTGTTTGGGTGCTTTGGGGCACCTCCAGCAGGAATTGCAGGAGCTGAGAGGCCACAGCAGCTCCAGCACTGCCTCCGGTGGGGCTGGCTGCACGATGCCCAAACCCCTAAGGTCTTTTTTTTGGGGCAGGAGCAGCCCCTGTGCTACAGAACACCTGCGGCTCCTATTTCTGCGCATCGGTGCCACGGTTTCCATACCCCTGCCCAGCAGGGTGGCATTCACACTCAAACCGAATCAACAGCAACCCGCAGCGTGCACCAGGTGAACCATAAAACCTCGGCGAGGCCACAAGCTGCACATTTCCCCTCCTGCATCCGTTCCTTACTCCCCTTTTACCTTCGCAGTCCCGAATTTTAACGCACCGGGGTTTCAGGTGGCCGTGCACCGTGCTGCCACATCTCAGGGACACTCAGGGATCCTACAAGACGCCTCTCCTCGGAGGCAGACACACGGTAGCACCTCCCCAGTGGTACAAAACAACCCCCTTCCCGCACCAAACCCGCTTTTGAAGCCACTTTGGACGCTTGGTCCACTAAATCAGATCCACACGGCGCGCTCCGAGCGGCACCGCTTGGCTCAGGGTGATGCCGCTTATAAAGGCACCCATGGGTGCTGAGCTCCTGCACCCATCCCATCACCCGTGGCCCCATCCCATCACACATCACCGCGTCCCCAACGCCCAGGACAGCTCGGTGGGAGCCACCACAGCCCCGACAAGAGAACCACCAGCAAGATTTGGGATCTCCGCAAACCATCCCCGGGGAACCTCGGGGACGTGGCTCCATCCAAAATAAAATCAGAACGAAAAAACCACGGTGCAGACGAAGGAGGAAGGCGCAGGGAGGGCTGGAGGCCCGGCAGGCAGCAGCAGCAGGGCTCTCCATCCCCAGCCCAGCGGCCGAGCTCCGGCCCTTGGGCTGTTTGCGAGCAGCAGCAGTGCCCGAAACGCGCCCCGCGGCATTCCTGCCTCATTCCCCAGAGCTATATAAGGCAACACGGCCAATTCCAGCTCCTCTCCCTCCTCGCCCCGGGGTGGTTTCCTGCTCCCTGCTCCCCTCCGGGGACCTCGTCATCAAACACAGCGGGGCCAGCTCCAACCACCTCAAAAAAAGCCCTAAAAAAGCCCCAAAACGCCTCGCTGGCCGCTCACGCTCCACACACGCAGCAGCACGGGGGCTGCCGGCCCCACGAGGGGATTTGACCAGCGGGGATGCTTTGCAGCAAGGCTCTTTTTTCCTTTTTCCTTTATTTTTTTTAGGTGTTGGGGAACAGCCACGCAACACCCAGGCAGGTTTCACCCTCCCCTCCTCCTCCTCCACGTTTCAGAAACTCGTGTTTAAAGCAACTCCCATCTCGGCGCAGACACCGCCAAGGAGCACGGCTGGCCCGGGATATCCCACACCCCAAAACACAAGAGCAACCCGTAGGATTTGGGGGGCGTTTTCAGCCCTCTGCAGCCCCCCTTTCCGTGCGCCGAAGGCGCTGCTGTAAGCACGCAGCTCGCTGCGCAGCAGCCAGCAGTCGCCTCGGATTTTCTCAAACACAAGGGGGGTATTGAGAGCCGCAGGAAAAAGGAAAAAAATAAATAAATAAATAAAATGCGTCCAAACAGGATCCGAGTGATGAAATCGAAATCGCCGCATTTCCAAAAAATAAAAAATAAAAAAATAATAAAAATAAATAAATAAAATCGAGGAGAACCCAGGGCTTGCGAAAATACCACTTGGGCTGAGGTGGCGCCGGGGCCGCTGCTCCGTGGTGCAGGGAGCCGAGCGAGCCACGTTGGCCAAAAGAAGCCGAGAAAATCCAGACTCTACGTGACCTGACTTGGTTATTGCACAGGAAACTGCATGGAAGGAGGAAGGGGGGTTGGAAAAAAAAAAAAAAAGAAAAACACAGAAAAAAAAAAAAAAGAGGAAAAAAAAAAAAGCAAAGGCACCAATCATTCATGCTACCGTAGTTCCACCACGCAATAGCCTGGAGTAGTTCGCAGCGCGGAGCCCAGCCGAAAGGAGCCGTGGTGGGTTTGAATATTAAAACGTAAGAGAGGAAAAAGCCCTGGGTGCAGTCATGGTGGGGAGCCCTGGCTCCAAAACCTCTTTTTTTTTTTTTAAGGCAGCATTACAACACCGAGCGGAGACCGAGGCAGCGTCGGAAAAAGGGGAAAATAAATAAGGAAAGGCGTAAAAAGGGGGATTTATTTTTTCGGAGCGAGGACTCACCAGGGTTGTTGGCCTCCCCTTCGAGGATGTGCAGCTCGGTGCAGTCTGCCAGGGAGTGCTCGAGGCAGAGCTGCAGGAAGCGGGCTTGGGTCCGGCTCACGCGTTTGAGCAGGGAGAGCAGCGCAACAGTCTGCTCGCACTCGTTCCAGCCCTTGAACCAGCCGGCCAGCACGCCGACCTGGTCTCGAAACATCATGGTGAGAGGGGCAGGGGGGAGAGGAGAAATAAAGGGGGGAGCCTCCGGCCCCCCAGCCCCTTCCTCGGATCTCGGCGCCGGGCTCGGAGGCGGAAAAATCTCGGCGGCGGAGCGAGGGTGGGCCGGTGGCGGGGGGTTGCGGGGTTTTTGGCGTGGGTTTTTTTTTTTTTCCCACCTTCTTCTGGCTGGGGAGCAGGCGGTGGGGTGTCCCCGAGGTGGTTTAGGGGTTGGGGGGGGGGTGGAAATGGTCAAAAAGTGTGGGGGGGGATGGAAAAAATAAAAAAAGGAGGAGGCCGGCGGAGGCTGCGTGAGCGGAGGTGGCCCTTGGCTGGGCGGCGAGGAGTGGGCAAGGCACGGAGCGGGGCTGGAGCTGCGGCGGGGGGCTTCAAACCTGGAACAGAAAGGGGGGGGTCAGCAAGGGGGGGGGAGGAAGAAGAGGAAGAGGAGGAAGAGGAGGAGGAGGAGGAGGAGGAGGAAGGCCCTCAGCAGCCCAGGCACCGCAGCCTCCCTGCTCCTCCAGCCCCGCTTTGTGCCCCCCCAGCAGGACAACCCCATTTTGTGCCCCCCCCCAGGACCCCCTCATTTTGTTTCCCACCCCCGGGACCCCCAAAATTTGCGCCCCACCCCCAATTTGCGCCCCCACCCCCAGGGCACCCCCTCCCCACACTCCCCACGGCAGGGTGGGGGGAGTGCCTAAAACCCCCCCCCCTTTCCTTTTAGCGGGGAGGGCGCCCACCCCAAAGCCACGTCGCCCCCCCTAAAACCCCCAAATGAACCAAAATAACGCTTTTTTTAAGAAAAAAAGTTGCCCCCCCCCCCCAAAAAAAATAAACAACACTCACCTCACTCAACGCGGGGCCGGGGCCGGGGAGGGGGGGGGGCGGCGCGGGGGGGGCCGAGCCATGGTTGGGGGGGGGGGGGTTGGGGGGGAGGAGGAGGAGGAGGAGGAGGAGGAGGAGGAGGAGGAAGGCCGGGGGGGGGAGGGGGGCGCGGGGCGCGAGCGGCGGCGGCTCCGCGGCGCGAGACTGAGGCCGGCGGCGCGCCGGGCCCCCGCTCCCCACATGCCGCTCATTTGCATACCGGTGACGTCATAGAGCGAAGGGGCGTGGCCTCGGCGGGGGGCGCGCCTTTTTTCTGCCCCCCCCCCCTCCATTCCGCGCGCAATTTCCCCCCCCCCCCCTCCCCTCCTCCCTGGGGGAGTCCCCCCCCCCCCAAAAAAAAAAATAATTAAAAAATGCTAAAAAAATGAGAAACGAACCCAAAGTCGCCCCCCACCCCCCCCCCAAGCTGGATTGTGCCCCCCCCCCCTCCTCCCAGCCTCCACGCGTCCAGGAGGCTGGAGGAAGCCTCCATCTAGCGGAGAGCGGGGAACGGCGGCGGGATTTTGGGGGATTTTGGGGGTTTTTTGTTTTTTTTTGGGGGTGGAGGAGAGCAGCCCTGCCTCGTGTCGGAAGGGAGTTTTTTTTTTTTTTCCCATATATTTATTTTTTTGTATTTTTTTAAGGCTGCTTTGTACGCCCGGGGTGCAGCCGATGGGGTGGATGGGGGGGTTGTAGGGGCAAGGGGTGGGTTTGAGGCTGTGGGTTCACCCTGCGGCTTCCATCTCTTTGGTGTGCATGGGGTGAGTGGTACGGGTACGGCTAGGAAGGAGGAAAAAGGGAAACAAGCACCCGCAGGGAGCTGGCAGATGTGGGGCAGGGTTTGGATAACGCCCCGCAAAGTCAAGGTGCAGAGTGGGGGTCTTTGGGGTCACGTGGAAAGGAGGTCAGAGCCTTGATCCATGCCCAGCTTGGGGACAAGGGACACAGGTACCTAGCCACCATCCCATACCCCTGTTGCTTTAGGGGCCCTCCAGTATCAGGAGTTGCAGGGGGAGTGAGAGGCAAAGGGATCGAGGGAAAGCCTTGACAAGCCCCCTCACCCCAAATCCGCTCCCCAAAACTGGTGGGTGCTGCAGGAAGGGCGGCCAGGGGGGATCCCTGGACGTCAGACACAAAGGGTCCGGCTCACCCCGCGTGCGGGTTTGCCTGCTCAGTCTGGCTTGTGACTAATTAAACAAACACGAGCGGGGTTCCCTGCCAACAGACCGCAGCCATCTGTCTCATCCTACAGCTCCATCCTAATAAACGGGCCATCGCAGGGCCCTTTCCCCTCCTGCGGCCCCGGCGTGCAGGCAGGAGGCGTGGAGCCACGAGGCTGAGCTGTCTGTGGGGTCGGGGCAGGCGTCCTGCACAGGGACAAGGCGTGAGGCTCCCCAAAACCCCAGAGTTTTAACAGCACCGGGATCCCCATGTCCTGGGAGCTGGTGAACACCGGCACGTTGCTAATTTAGGGCTGCCAAGCTTGCTCTGTCTGTACCGCCCCCCAGGTTTGGGTTTTGCAGTAACAGCAGTGATGGGAAGAATATTTGGGGCTGAGACATCCAACGTGGTCCTCTGCAGGGCTGAAAACACCGCCAAAACCCCAAAGCATCCCAAGGAAGCAGCAGCTGCAGGAGCACGGCACCGTTCCCCCTCGCTGCGATGTTTGGAGGTTTCTATGGTAATTACAAACCCTAACCACGAGCTGTGGAAAAAACACCCTGCTGTGGGGCGAGAGGAAGGGAGCAGGCTCGGTGCAAGGGGAACGATGCCCGAGCTGCCCCAAGAAGCAAATCTCCTCGCTGGTGTCACAGCGTGTGCCGTGGCAGGGACACAGCAGGGCTGTAGGGTTTTGGTTGGGGTGGCTCCATATGGCAACGTGCCCGCTGTCCTGGTTGTGTGTCCAGTGGCTGATATTAATCAACCAAGGAGGTGGTGTAAGGAAATTAGCGGATCCTGACTGCTGACGAGTTCCTGGGAAGCAGTTTTTGGAAGCTGCTTGATGGCAAGTTTGTCTGGAGAAGGATCACAGAATCACAGAATTTCTAGGTTGGAAGAGACCTCAAGATCATCGAGTCCAACCTCTGACCTAACACTAACAGTCCCCACTAAACCATATCCCTAAGCTCTACATCTAAACGTCTTTTAAAGACTTCCAGGGATGGTAAAAAAAAAAGAGTAAAACCAAAAAGTGACCCCAAACCAACATGGGTCTACGGTTTCTGTGTTTACTTGCAGCGCTGGGATTTTTCACCCCATTTCCAGCCGGCAAGGAAAGCAGCTTGGTGGAGGATTCGGGGCAGATTGAGGCTGCTGTGAGCAGATGGTCCCGACGAAACGAGGCGCTGCTCCCTCCCAGCAGCTCCCAGGCAGGCTTGGAGATGTGCCTCGGGACACGGCACCGGGGAAATCTCCTCCCTCGCTGCGCCTTTCAAGCAATTCTAATTCTTTGGAAGCCTGGTTCCAGCTGAAGACGTGTCTTGCGATGGAGATTGAAGGAGAAATTCCTTAAAGGAGAGAGCGAGAGCTGCTCAGGCTGGGTCAGGTTTCAGGGTGGAGGAAAACCTCCGTGCCTGCACCTTCCGAAACGGCCGGGAGTCCGGGCATGGAAGGCAAACACGAGGGACACTGCCCCCATTGAGAGCTGCCCCTGCCTCCAGCACGTGGCTTTCGGCACCACCTGCGGAGGGAACACCTCGGGCTGCAGGGAAATCACACCCGTGTGTGTGCAGCTAGAGGAGGCGTAAATGCAGATAACCCACCGAGGCCAAAAAGGGATGTTTTCCATTCAAAAAGGGACGTTTTGCATTTTGCCCCAGTCCCCCAGGAGGAGCTTGCAAACTGAGGAACAAGGCGTGGAAACGGGGGGTGTCGTGCAACGCCCCGCCACCTGCTTAAATTGCTGCTCTGATGTGCTTAAAAAAAAATAAATGGAAAAAATACAAATGGCCAAGTGTAAAGAACCAAACTCAGCTCATCCCCTCCCAGCAGAGCGAGGTGGAGGTCGCTGCTGCTTGGAGGAACCTGGTGGTGGGGCTGGAGGGACGCTGGCAGCAATGCCCAGCCCGGTGCAACGTGCCCCGATGCTCCCAAACTCCCAGCCGTGGCTCCAAGGGGATCAACAAGATAGCAGGAGGAAGAAAAGAAGGAAAGGTCTTGGAAATGAGATGTACAAGGGATGAGGACAGCTTACTGGGTCAGATTTGTGCCGGGGGGTCACTGCCTGGCCAAGGTCCAGCTCTGCATCCCGCTACAAAGGGTTACGGTGCTCCTAGTAAGAGACACAAAAAGACCACAAATCATTCCTACCCTTGTACTTTAAGGAGCTCATTTGGAGAAAGAAGACTCCAAAACCCCAAAATTGGTGGGTATGCCCTTGGCACTGCATTGCCCCTGTGTTTTTGCCCTGCTCTGTTTATCCACACGGATAAACCACGGGATCGGGGTCGCGCACTGTGCCCCAGCGTAGGTGGCTGCAGCCCCTGGTGCTGTCTCCAGGGCAAAGCCTTACAAGCTCCTGTTTTTTTTGGGGGTTGTCCCCAGCTTCAGGAGCATTCAGCCACCTCCCTGCCTCCTTTGGTAGCCTTTGAACTACATGGGGCAAGAGAAACGCTGGCTGGAGCAGGAGCAGGATGAGCGGCAAAGAAATCTGCCAACCTGCCCGGCCAACCCAGCAAAAAGTAGTGGCAAAGTAGTGCCGAGGGTGCAGCTCTACAAAGAGAAATTATGAAACCTGCACGTTCCTGTGTCCAAGAGGTGCTGAGGAATGAGCATCTGATGTGCTGCAGCGAGTTGGGTGCATCAGCTGTGCCTTGGGAGCAGTGAGGTGCGGGTTGCTGAAATGAAGGGGATAAACGACCCCATAAAAACACGTCGGTGCGTCGAGAGGCCCTTAAATCATCACAAACCTTTTCTCAGGACAGGAGAAAAGCAAATGGTTTGTTAGTGATGGAGCACCGAATCCTGATGGGCTTGACGGAGACTTTTCAGTATTTGTTAAGAAGTTGGGGCTGAGAGGGAAAAGTGTGGCTGGCAGATTTATTTACAGGCTTTCACGTCCTGGGAAGATGCTTAAAGATTGAGAGGCTGGAAAAGCTATCGCTTTAGCTGTTCACGTTCACCTAAACACGAATCCATCAAAGAAAGACGCGTTGGCAACTAATCTTTCTTTGGTCCTATAGCAGGGGTAACTCCTCGTGGGATCCAAGCTGCCTTGGAGCGAGTCCTCCCAGCGGAGGGGGGTTTGGATGGTGCTGCAGCCGGGGTCTGGTGCTGGCCACCGAGGAAGAATTTGGCTTTCAAAGGCCCAGCAGCAGCTGGCTTGTCCATTTTGCCTCTGTGTATGGCAACACCTGGTGAAAAGCGTTGCTTTTTGAGCTGCTGTAGGCCATAAATCGCCAGCCTGCTCCTGCTTTGATGGATGAAACCGTAGAGAAGATGCAGTGCCTGGCTCCCCGCTTGCCGTGGGCATCCTCAACCTCGCTGCCTCCAAAATCCCAGCCCAGGCTTCCTGCAAGCTGGTGTATTTTGAGCTCGTGGTCTAGGCTGTTTCCTTGCAGGGGAAAACCTTGAAAGCAAGGACCCTGAGGAGCTGGAGACCAACATCAGATAGCCTAGGGGAGGGCGTCTGTGCTGTGTGCACCCAGCTCAGCAGCAGCAGAGCATCTGCATCTCCCAGCCAGTTCTGGTGGCAGGAGGTGGATGCACAGTGACCCCCGAAATCTCTGGGGTCTCGCTGCCTCCGAACTCAATAACACCTGCAGAGGGAGAAGAAAAAGCGAAGAGGAACGACTATCAAGATAATTCACAAGTTAGCAGCCCTCCCTCCAGCCTGTTTGTTCGCATATTGCTGCGCACAAGGAGCTGATAGACACTAAATAAATAGCACTAGGAGAGATAAGTGATGCATTAGATTTCCCACCAGTCCCCTGACTCCGGCTGCTATTGAAAACTCTGCCAAGAAATATTAGATGTCAAGTGGCTGCGACGGGAGAGCACAGAAAGCTAGGAACTGCCCCAAACCCTCACTGCA